TGCTAGTTATTCAATAAAAGATAAACTATTAAAAAAAGTTGTCATACACACAACTTTTGCAAATAACCTATCCTAACAAGTCATTCAGAGCTTAGATAGAAAAAAATAAGACCTTATGGCTTTGCAGGTCAAGGGTTGAACACCTCTTGTCCTAACACGTTGCACAAGCTCAGATTCAACCATAGATTCTCTATACATTCAATTCAGGGCTGTGGTTGGGTCACTCAAGGACATTTCCTTTCTTATTCTTAAGCCACCCCAGTCTAACTGTAGACGTGTGCTGAAATGTGAAGGTTTGTCCCAGTTTTATGGCTTTAGCAGACTGAACCAGGATTTACTCAAGTGTATTTGCCTGTTATTTGTTCTTTCCATTTTTCTTTCAAGCCTAACAAGCTTCCCCACGGCATGATGCTGCCGCCACCACACCTGACTGAAGGATGAAGATAACTGGGTAATGCGCTGTATGGCTTGTGCAGCAGATGCAACACTTTTCAATTACACCAGTATTACTTAAACGCATTGTCGCAAACTACAAATGAAATCTGAGAGAGAGTTTTCCACTCGTCCATTCAGAACACCATTGTGTAGTGACCAGGATACTGTTGACTGATGCACTTTTCCTTCCATCTTAGCCACTGAACTCTGAAGGTCTTTCAGTGTGATTGCTGGCCTCACTGTGGCAGCACTCACCATTTTCCTCTTTGCCTGGAAACTCAGCTTGGAGGGACAGCTTGATCCAGACAGTGTTTAAGTGGTACAATGCATTATCCATTTCTTGATGATTAAATAAACTGTGCTCATCATTATTCATGAGAAATTCAAAGACTTTGATATTTCTTGTAACCTCCTCTTGATCTGAGCTTTTCAATGACTATCCCTGACTTGCTTTACAAGTCTTCATGGTTCAGTCTTTGCTTGAAATTCACTCTACCTGACTATGGAACCTCACAGAGACAAGTGTTTTTATTTTTAAATCACGGGAAACACTTATTGCACACCAAGGCCACTTGACTAATTGTGTGGCTCATTAAGGTAATTTTGTGCACCTAAAGTGTCATAACTGTAAGCTTTAAAGGAACAAAATGTGAAAACTGTAGGGATCAGAATATTTTGGCAAGGCAGGGTGTACATTTAATAGGACACTGAATTATAATGTAGAAAATAAACTAATACACTAGACAATTGATTTACTGCACAGTGTTTACTTTTTCTACCTAGCTAAAGACTTCTGTCTGAAACATCACTGTGTTACTGAACAAAAGTTCGGGTGGTAGTCAAATTCTAATCTTGCACTAATCTAATCCCTTTCCTATATATAAAGGCTAAACCACTGTTGCAGCTTTTTCTCCCTGCCTCATAACTTGCCAGTGAGGAGGATGTGACAGTGCTGCTTTTCGACTAGAGCTGTCATTTCCTCAGCCGGGCACGTTATTAAGCACACTATAACTTTATATTCACTAGCTCATTTTGGGTGATATTAAAATTTGACAGAACAACTGAACTGTAACAAATGAGTTTTTAATAAGAGAAACAAAGGGCAGAACACAATAACATCTTCTTTCAGTCTCATACATATAAATTTAATGATGTGTTTAACAAATATTCGGGAGGGAAGACAGCATCCAAGGTTTCCTTCACCTCTGCTATTTTAACTCTTAATTGTCAATGATGTCACTTCCTGAAAAACTATAAATATCATAGTACTGTAGGTCTATTTTGCTCACATTGGTGTTTCTGCTTCTCTCCTCCACTCCAACACTTCCCCTTGGTTAACTACTTAAGGGTCATTATTTTTCTTAATACATCCATGCAGGCTAAGCAGAACCTTAATCTGTAAACATGCCTAAATGTTAATGTCTTATTGGGTGATGGTATTTCTAATGAAATAAATTAAATTACTTTCATTAAAATGTGCCCAAAATGTTATATATTATTTCAAGATTGATTATATTAAGCCAGATATAGTATTTAATATAATCAATATTAAATACTCTATATATTTAACATCCTCAGTTTCCTTTCTTTCTAAATGTATTGAGCAAAAACACAAACATGAATTTATCATTTTGATTAGAGTAGGGAGGTGCAACAGCATACAAACTACAAAGAAACAAGCAGAGGTTAATAACAAGCTGGCACGTTAAAAAGAAGAACATTTTAAAGAAATAATTACATGTATACTGTATGTCCAGCAGAGAATACCCAGAGGGGATTTAAAATTGTTTGTTAAATCTGCTTACAATTTGCTTGTTTTTAGTTAATAATATTTAACTACACTGGAAGGGGATGAACTGTACTAAAAATGTAATCTAAGTGTTGATAATGTTCGTATAACCTCATCTGACTCAAAGTGTGTGATAACAGCTCAAATTCCCTGGAGCATTGTCCAAAAGCATATTTTTAGCTGTACTGCAAAAAAGACTAGTGTGCTTTTGTGCTAACTCTAATTCTGCATGGGACTCAAATCTGACAAACTCTTTCACTGGGTGAATAAAGTGAACTTTTACACTAAACTAAGAAAAACAATACTAGTTCACAGGCCTAGTTAAGGTATTGAGATGAGATCCTACTTGAATATGCCAACTATTCCAGAATCAAAGGTTTTAAGAATACCTTTGAACAAATTCAGTTTTTTCTTTTTGTTTAAAAAGTATCATTTTTGAGATACCATACTGTGCTTTATTAAGTTTACACTAATGCAGCTATGGACTTTTTGTGATCCTAGAATCTATCATCTCTAGAAAGTTTTTTATGAATTGACTCATCAGTTCCTTTTGAAAACTTTCGTTTTCATTGATGAAAACAAACATTTAAGGGTCTTAAAATGGAAGTATTTTACAACTTTTCTTACTGTCCTTACAATCTGTCTAAAACCACAGAAGAGTAAACTGAAACGATTTTTTTGTTTCTAACTACATTCATGAGTCTTTCATTCCAGCCTGATCATTCTTTCTTTGCCTGTTATTATCAGCACACTGCAATCTAATTAAGTGGAAAAGGGGAAAAGGTTACCTCCACCCGAAAACATAGAAAATGCGAAATGGGTCCATTTTACCCTACACTCGTGATCGTCATGGACGATAACACAGCAAGATAGAAAAATCAATTTAAAACAATCCCAGCAGAGATCTTTCAAGGTCAACAGTCCTGAGACACACAATCACTATGTACGGAGATGTGCATGTTCTGCCTATACACTAAAAATTCCATCCATACGTTAAAAAAGGGAACGGAAAAGACGGACAGCACATACAGTGATAGATAGTTTCTATTCATTCTGTAGCCATGGATCCTTGGTTTACAAAGAGCCTGGAAAGCTCAAGTAAAGGGAATTTAAAACACCAAAGAAAGCGTCTCACCTTTTAAATATAAATCTCATTTATACCTTAATATCAAGCTTCCAACATCTTCAAAATCAGAAATTAAAGTCATTTATGAAGCTACTTTAAGAAACCTGTTTTATTACACCCCTCTTGACCTCCAAGACCTAGGTAGTTACACAGATCTATATTATTAGTAATAAGCATTTCTCTGCACAACAACGGGTAACTCTGTAGCCACAAATAAAAATATACAGCCCATATTATACTGTAGTTCATTTACCTTTACAATAGGAAACATACAGTAATACAGGCACACTCTCTAATCCAGAAAACATATGAATAAGACAGAAGACTCATAACTAACGAGAGGTAACATGCTTTTAAAGATGCCATTACATTACATTAAAGACATATAAGGAGAAAAAGCAGAAGAACAAGAAAAAATAATAATAATGATTGCACATGCTGGTAGTGCAATATAAGTGCTCTGTTATGCAAGATAAAAATTTAAATTAAAACCCCATACACACAGTGTGAATACAAAGCAAAAATGTAAAGCAAATATATAGCATGATCGTATGTATTCCATGCAATATGTGCAACCAATAAGAGCAAGAAGCAAAGAATCCAGTTTGAATTAAAAATATTAATATGATGCAAAAGTAAAGAATGTAACAGAGATCGAATCTGCTGCCTAGACAACAGTTTGAAAAAGTGCTAAAAGTTGGTCAATGGGAGGTCAAAATGAGACCCTGCATTTGACAGTACATTTGGAAAAATAAATGTGAAAAATAAGCATTATAATTAAAGCTTTAAAACAACCCAAAATATTAACATAAATGGTAAAACAGACTGCAAAAGTGTTAAATAACAAATGTAATAGTGGACATTCAGTACCAAGTAAATAACCTGCCTGCATTCAAGTTAATATTTTTCTTCCTTATTAATTTTAATACTAGGATTAATGGAGTGTTGCGTCCCCAGTCAGCAAAAATAAAATGTTCTTACATTCCCCAATTCAGGTCTGTAAATCTTCGTCAGTGGTTAGGTTTAATTGGTCTCCATGGATACCATGTTCCACTCAAAACAAACCCTACCAAGAAGTTTAAAAAAAAAATCCTTCAAACATCTGCTGGAATTGGGCACAGTTTTCAATCCAACACCAGCTTGGAGCAGATCTGTCACACCCGTAAATCTGGACTAAAATGTATAATAATCAACAATACAAGACGCTTTAATGCCTTAACTGAAAAATATGTAACCAAAGACAAAAACTCATTCACTTTCTTTATCATTTAAACAAGGAATACATACTTATTATGAAGTAACGTATGCAGAATGAACAAAGAAAAAAGAAACATGCCTAATAACAACTCCATTGAATAAGAATGGTTTTAATCACAAAGGACAGAGGAAACAAACCTCATAGAAAAAGTAACGAGTCTCAAGAGTACAGTAAGTAGAAACCGTATAGACTGGGGCATTCTAGAATAGCCGTGCTTGCTCTCAAACCTGTGCATATTAAAGAAAGATAATGGCATCACTCTCATTATTGTGTCTCATTTCTTGCTAATTTAACGTCAAATTCAGCAACTTCGAACAAGAGATCCGTGTCTGTCTGTAGCTAGGCTGAAAGCGCTGAAAGATTTTATCTTCAATAACGACACAAAACACACATTTCTTGTATTAGCAAAATTATTTATTACAAAACAGGTTGTGGTAAAACAGTACAAAAGGGTTTAGCTCTTGCAGATGAGGTCGTGGCCTTGACCTCCCACTGCACTGGCACTGATCTTTGTTTTAAGAAACTTGTAATGTTACTCAACCGTCCCCTCGCCGCGCAGTAGGAAACGTTAACATTTGAGAAAGTTCAAAAGAAGTCTCAAAACCCCTTTGCAGAAACAAATATATACTGTATATATTTACACCATTTTGTCCAACACATGGCAGTTCCATGCCTGCCAGAATCCTGAGGGCTATGAGGGGGGATCTTCACCATGAATTGCTTTATACTTGGCCATCTCCTCCGGGAAAACCTTCCCCAGTTCTTGGATCAGAAGACTTTTAAATTTCTAAAAAAGGAACGAGATGAAGAGATAAAATAAGAATAAACTCTTTTTGTCACAGAAAAAGGGTTCTGTATTCTTTTGTGTTACATATGTTCAAAGTGAGGCGCATAAGAAAACTAACAACAAGGTCACAGTAAAAATGATGTCCTTTCTATCCTTAAATGGAAAAATTCATCACTTTAAAGTAGTCTAGAAGTCAATCCTAAAACAAGACTTTCAATTTCCTTCCATTAGTATCTGCAAGAAAAGATTTTTGACATATGTCCCAAAGTGCCATCTGCAGTTTGTACGACTTTAGCTCTTATTTGGTGCATATTCAATATGAGTTTGCATCATTCCCAATTAAATCATTTTACAAATTAATTATTTCAGTATAAATAATTCTGGAACAAATACAAATCATACATTTCTTACTGGAAAATGAATACTAATGTCAAACTAAATAAATTATCTTTTAAATACACTCTTGCAGGATCTTCACACATCTGAACGCTAGCTTCATTAGGACTTTAGCTAGAAATTGTATAATATCCTTTTTTTACAGCACAAACTTATTAAGGTATGTCTTGGGTTGCAGGTTTGTTGGAGTTTTAATGCAATTTGTGTTTAACTCATATCAAGGCATAGAGTTTTTTTTATAGTGCTCTGTTCACAATTTGTTTGGGTGTGCACAAACATCTTGGACACACATATTCTGAGGACACAAAAATATTTCCTCCAGTAGCCCAATCAGAGCTATGTTTTGTATACTGCAAACGCAGCTAATCTGTCTCTGCTGGGATTCAATCAGTCGTTAGTAGGCCCAAAGCCGCCCAAAGCCACCCAAAGCTATAACCCGTCTACAATCCCACTGTGCCACAAGACATGTTCCTCTGCTGCAGGACTGTCTAGATTTCCAAGAGAGGTGACGTCTCTACTGTAACTAGCTCAGTGCACTGAGCCCTTTGCACTCTCCCCCTCTACATTCCTCCTTCTCCTCCAGCAGCCTCGGTGACGAATAGACGCCTGCCTGAGAAATCCAAGTCACAGCACTATTGTCATGAGTAAATCTCGTACTGCCCCTGCTGGAATTCGATCCAGGCCGATCGCAGGCTACGTGCACACACAGCTGCACTCCGCTAAAAGACTGGGTATTCCATCACGGGAGAATTCTACTCAACACCAGCGAGAAGCACAACTCTACTCTGACCCTGCCAGTTTCAATCAAGGCGGCTAGTGGGCACAGAGCCATACAGTGCCACTCGATACCCAGCTTCACCACAAGACTGGATCCTGTGCCACAGTAGTTTTATACTGTCTAGATTTTAGAGACAGGCGATATCACTACTGTGTCTTGCTCATGTGCTCAGCCTTCTTGCATGAGCACTGAAGATTTCACACACAAATCTTCACTCATTTCCTTACCTTCATGGTATCAATCTTCCCTTTAACTTGCTCATTTTTTGCCAAGGCTCTCTCCAAGCATTCTTTAGTATAAAGCTGAGGATTACGGCCCTGATCAATGTATCTATTGAAAAATAATAGATTTAGTAAAGATTTCTACATACAATAATGTATAGTAAATAACACTTCGAGATGTTATGATAGATTACACACAAATTATTCTATTTTGTTAATAATATACTTTTTAGAAAAATGTTTAAATGCACTTTAGATAGACTTTCATTCAATAACTGTGATGTACCTTCTAGATGTATTGTAGAAGAACAATACTATATCTATATATATACTATGTTTTCGTAATAAAAGATTAAATGTAAATAGTGGACGGTTTAATAATTTTCCTAATCAACTCCAATTGATCCACGATAATCTCTGCGATGCAGATTTGAACAGATAACAATACTATTTTCTAGACCTACTACAGTGAATAAACCTGATGACTACACATTACAACAAAGAAAAAAAATACTTACTCAAATACTTCCAGCGGAACATTGATATCATGTAGCTGCTGACGGCATTTATCAATGTCCTGCAATCCGGTGATCATGAAATTCCTGAAACAAAGAAAATCGTCACTGGCAATTTAAGGCTCCGCAGACATCACCTGCTAGTTGCTAGTGTGCTCGTTATTTCAAATTTGGTTTAATAACGTAAAAAATATAATTGTATACCAAAGCACTTTGCTTTTTTTATTATACAGATTTTACGCTATAGAGTGGCTAATGAATCATGCTATTAATTACCTTTCTGCTAAAAAAAACAACAAAACAATGGTTGACATGCGCAAAAATAACAGTCCAGACAAAAAGTCTGATATACATATATATTATCTGAAATGGGGCACATCTAAGAAACAAGAAGCTGTAAACGTAAAGAAACTTACAGTTTCTGGTTAAGTCCTGTCTGGCTACTCGGCTGAAAGTCGCTGACAATAATGCCCAACTGGCGTATATTTTCCACAAATTTTTCTAGATGCTCCTCGAGATTATCGAATTTTTCCGCCATTTCCAAAACGCAAGCCGACGAACCAAAACAGAAAAACAAAAACAAAAAGTACCTATTGTAAAAACAAAAACAACAACAGCAGTAATCACAACTCTACTCCATTTTTCACACTTACTGATAGAACCATTTTTCGGCACCGTTGCAACCAATCAAACATCAGTAAGACCAGGTTACTCCTAGCAACCCCAAGAATCCGTAGCAACGGAGTGCCATAAAGGAAATCGTTTGCTGAAAATATTTAAGTGCGACAGAGAAGTTATGTTTCAGTAAATTGCTGCTGAAATTTGAGAATAGTTACGGCTTTTGTGAAGTGTTAATGAAAATACCACATCCTGACTTTTCGGCTGTTTTAATTGGAATATATACTTCTAACAAAGCAACCGACGTAACCGAAATCTTACGTACCTTCAAGTACACAAAGATTATAGAATATATCCAGAATTTCTATACTAGAAAAATAAACAGTGCAACCATTAGAATGACTAGGAAACGGTAAACGTGGAAATTTTTGTTTCTATGCATTTCCTTGAACTTGGATAACTGCAGACTGAAAATGGAATTGATCTTTTGAATAAGTAAAATACTGAAATACGTCTGAAGTCAGAGACGTTTGATAAATCTCGTCTTTTCTATCATGCGCGAGAACCTCAGACAAAGTTTATTCAACGTACTATCTTGAGAACGGTCAATCTCTTAACGTCTTGGAATTAAGAAAATGCCCCCAGAACACTGGAAACTTTTAAATTTATTTTGGTTAGAGTACATGTATTAGAGAGATCCATACATTTCAGTGCAGAACAGTATATGATTCCGGCAGATATTGTTCTTCTGGAGAAATGCTTCAAGCTGCCTTTTCCACGCACTTGTGTTGATGACTAAGAAGGCACGTCTGTTAACACTAGCACTTCACAGAAGGAGTGAATGGTACTTTACATGTAAGCAAACAAGTCATGCTGCCGACACTGATGAACAGCTTTTACCATTTCGTGTTCCGTTTTTGATGCAAATAAGCGCATTGCATAGATCATGCCAAGTTATCTTGGTCATCACCTATTTCTGGACTTTTCTCAGAAGGTTTTATTTTTTCCTAACTTTGTTGTGCAGACATTTAAGATAAATACCCATCTTAGATGGTGATTTTTTTTTTTTGTTAAGACAGGCACTTTTTATGGAAGTGTTGTTACTTGGTCTTCAGTAACGTGAAATTACCTGCTGAAAAAGACTGAGATTATGAAATGCTGTACTTACATAGCTCAAACGTTTGCACAAGCACTTGCTATGATGACCCTGTATACAGTTTGTGTTGACCAGACGTGTATAATTAGATATCAATCTTTAGTTTACCTAATGGATAAATCCACAATATTAGTCTGTAAAAGATATCTTCTAAAAGATTTTGTGCTGTTGTTGTTTTAAGATACCTTTAAAATCACAGAACCAAATACAACAAATATTTCATCATTTTTGTCTACAGGGCTGATGGTGCTGGCAGGGAATCCTCTTACAGTGATACAACACACAAACTGCTCAATACTAATTCAGCCAAGATCCCAGCAGGTGAAAAGAAAGACTTCTGTCTCATGCTGAGCTATGATGATTCTAGGAATAGCATTCAGTGTTTTTTTTTCCATCTTTAAAATGAAAGATTCACGATTAAAAACAACCTCTCTTTATGACTATTTTTAAGCATTGCAAAACAAGGGTTCTGTATTTACATTTCATTCTTAACACTTACAGCTGCCATTCGTGCATGGAAAGCACTTCATTTCCAGATTTTGTATCTGGAGGAGTCAAAGCTGAATCATTGTGTTGGAAATGATGTGATTAATCGTGGAGACAGGTGGACAGAAACAGACAAGCTGTTGATAGAATGGTATCTCCATAATTGTGCACAAACAGCCTATTCCCATACTTATGCCGGGATTTTTTTTCCTCAGTACCTTTTTAACTTTCCCTTGGCGTACACAAGAAATTCCATTTCATTCATTTATCTAACTTGTATAGGTAAATATAGAAAACATACTAAGCATTTCTGCTATATAATATTCTGTTTCAATCGTATATGTTTAGTTCATGTTTTACGGTTTACAGGTGTACGTGTAATGTACAAAAATATTAAATAGCCCCAAATTAAATTGAATTTCCTATAGAAATTCTTCCCATTGTCACTTACTGCCTTTACCACTTTACCAGCCTCACATTAGTATGAATAACAACAATGTAAAAACCACATTGTTTACAAAGTTATCATCTCAATACCACTCATTTCCTTTAAGATACATTATTTTTTTATATTTCAATATCATAATGGTGGGCAGCACAGTGGTGCAGTGATTAGTATTGCTGCCTTGCAGTGCTGGAGCCCTGGGTTCAATTCTGGACCAGGGATGTGACTGGAGTGGAGTCTGTATGTTCTCCCCATGTTTGTGTGGGTTTCCTCCAGGTGCTCTGATTCCCACAGTCTAGAAACATACTGGTAGGTTAATTAGCTTCTGGGAAAACTGGCCCTGGTGTTAGTGTGTGTTGTTGTCTCTCTGTGTGCTCTGTGATGGACTGGTATCTCATCTAGGGTTCCTGCCTTGTGCCCGTTGCTTTCTGGGTAAGCTCCCCTGTGAATTGAGCAAAAGTGGTTAGAAGATGGATGAGTATCATAATTGCCACTACTCATTTAATATTCATTGAAAAGAAGTTCACAAAGAAAAGAGTATAATCGACAATACTGACAAGAATAACATACCGAGATCCTTTTAATTAATAGTACTAAATCTTGTAGCATCTTGCCTCTTGCATTTCAAGTGTCATGATGTTTTCAGTTGTGTAATTTATGAAGAAATGTTAAATGACTTTGACAAAATATTTCTCTGTGGACTTAAGTACGTAATTAGCTTAGATATTTGGATGTTATGAAAGTGGGTCAAAATGTCTTGTCTGGAATTAAAGCAGTAATTTCCTGAAGGGAATTTCAAACAAAAATATAAAATGCAGAGATGTAACAAGAATCAATTTCCAATGCAAAGAATAATTCCCTTGAAACCTGAACTATTGTTCCTTAATATGTCAAATGTTCCAGTGTTAATATCTATAAATGTCATTTTTACTAAAATATACAGTATGTTGCATGATGTACTGTAATCCGTAATGACATTTGAAGATGTAACTGCAAACAACAACGATCTTTAAGTCTACAATTTTGTAGCAAATTTATTTTTCAGATGACTCTAAACCCTGTCTGCTTGACACGTCATTGGTGTAAAAATGGCACAAAACCATGTCTTGATTTCTGAAGGACCACATCGGTGTGGAAGGAAATGGATAAGGAATGGAAGCAGAATACACTGTCACTTAATTTCCACTTTTGTGCACATAATTTGTGCTTCACAACCAATGCTTCAAATATCACAAGCAATATCATTTTTAATACATAAAAATCTCAATAGTCCACAACAGGTATAAACACATTGACTTGGTCAGTTGTACTGTATTTTTAAAAGAGAAATTCTGTATACAATTACTAAGAAATCTATCGTCATATCAGGTTTTTCGTCTTTAGTTTTTACTTAATTAGTCCTAAATTGGTTTTAGTCTTTATTCAATTATATGAATTATCCCAAAGACAACACAATGTTGTAGTCAGTCTCAACTCTTTCATTTTAACAAGCATGCCTTATTTTATTTTAAAGGTTGGACAGAGACTGCAGCTGAACTGCTGCATCCTAATTTCTGGGTTAATTTAATTATATCCGTAGTAAACCCCGCAGTTCTCATTGGCTGATCTGGGGGCCCCGAAGAGGTATGGTTTTAAACGTATTAGTTTAGGGGTGAAAAACTCTTACCGTAGCCTCTATCAAATACAACGGCAGAGCCATTTAAAACAGTTCCCACTTGGGTGATATATCACTCCATGCCTGTTTGTTCATTCAGGCCAGGTAGAGCAGCAGCGACTACTGACGTTTTTACGTCTCAGACGTGCTGCTGCTATTTCGTGCTCTTCTTTGGCTAAGCATAATCAGATTGGTTCAGTCCGAGCAGCATTATTGCTGGTGCTGCAGCAGCTGCAGTTACATCAAGGGTTTACCTCTGCAATGTCAGATTGGTGGGAGAGTCTGGATTAAAGATAAACATCTTTTTTTAACTACCTAGATTCCTTTTCATACGTCCTCTTTTTGGATGAAATGAACAAAAGACGTCGGTCTTGAAATACAAAGTATCACCAAGGGTAAGTTGATTTATATAACGGGCTGCTGGACATAGACATCGTGATCATCAATACAATTAGATGTGACTGATCGTGTCGCAAAAACGGTTATTGGGAAATCTGAACATTATTCTCAAAGCAGTGTCGAACGTACAGCTGGGAGACGTGAGTACAACCGCAGCCTCAGCCGCAAAACTGCAGTCAATTGCAAAACCGACCTGTCAAAATTGCTGCAACGAAGAGCTGAGAATTGCATCGAATCCTTGAAAGCCTAATTTATCGGTTGTATAAGAGAACCTAAAGATTTGATCTTTCGTGTTGTACGATCGGATGTGTTATGCGGCTCCGTTCCCAGTAATGGCATTTGTGTTCTCATTTTAATCGATTTCATACAAGATGCACTGAGATCAGAAGACTGAATGAAATCGCCCACTGGTCATCTTAAGAGGCTGCATTAGGCAAAGATACTAAACATTTTCCGTCTTCTGTTAAGAGTACTTAAACTCATATTGTGCAAGTAGCCAGCAGCGCAAACGCTATTATGGCTACTCTTCTACGGAAAATAGGTCTCATTCGACTCCATGACAGAGACACTGAGGATCCGAAGCATCACCAGGGCTCTTTCAAAGGGAGCAAAGGCAATCAGAAAAACAACAACATTAAGCACTGCAACACCAGCAACGAAAGCAACATCCTCAACCCTCCTGAAATAAAGAACAAGAAATCGGAACAATCCACGAAGGACAAGCCATCTGGCAAGGATAAGCAGGGCAAGGACATCAAGGAAAAACAGCAAGTGGGAGGTAGCAAGGCAACCTCCACATCATTGCAACCGCTGGTGCCGCACAGGCAGCACTGTACCCAGGTCCGGACGAGGAGGTTGATGAAAGAACTGCAGGAAATTAAGAGGCTTGCTGACAACTTTATAACAGTGGAGCTGGCTGACGATAACCTTTTTGAATGGAATGTCAAGTTGCACCAGGTGGACAAAGATTCTGCTCTCTGGCAGGATATGAAAGAAACCAACACTGAATATATATTGCTGAATATATCCTTCCCCGACAATTTTCCCTTCTCCCCGCCTTTCATGCGGGTACTCACACCCAGGCTGGAGAACGGCTACGTACTGGATGGAGGAGCAATCTGCATGGAGTTGTTGACACCCCGCGGCTGGTCCAGCGCATACACCGTGGAGGCGGTGATGAGACAATTCGCAGCAAGTCTCGTAAAAGGACAGGTGAGGGTCAATTCATTCGACAATCTTGTATGTGGTTTGCTACTCCTTTTTTATTGTTTTTTTATTTTGCGGCAGAAATCAGCTTCTAGTTGATTGAAATGCACGGTTTGTTTGTTTGTTTACTGAAAATCATCGAGTCTCTGAGCTCAATTTTTAAAAATCACGAATACGCGAGTCTTTCGCAGTTGCTGTGCTCAGATCTTAGCATTATTATAAACACTGCTACTGCAAATCTAGGTAAAATTAACATTTGAAAACAGAAGGAAGCAAATGATAGGTAATGTGACATTTTTCCTTACAGTAGTTTAAAAGAACACAATTAGCAACATTACAGGCGTATCAAAAATGCTTTATTGAACTTTCCTTTCTGAAAGCAAATCAGTATAATTAGAAAAATAAAAGCCTGTTACTTTGTGTTTTTCCCATGACCCTCATGAATATTAAACAACAATTAGAACGTCGCACTAGATTAACTAGGCAAAATACAGTGATATATAACAGTGTTTCCAAGGTACTGTTGAATATTAATGCTCACAGACGGTCTGGCTTATACCAGTGTAGGATCACCTTATTTCAGGTAAGGCAGTTCCCACAGGCATGAAAAAAGGCAAATAATTATTTTCAACGGGACCATGAATTTATTATTCCATTTACCTTTATCTTTATGTTAATTTTGAAAGTCACGTTTCGGCTAAATGTCGTAAAAATTGACTTTATAAACCCAATAATAGACGTTGGTAGATGTACTGATTTTCACTAAATTAGTCAAACATGCGTACCAACGACTACTAGTGCTGTACTTAGTAATGTATTACAATTCAATTCAATTTTATTTCAAGGAAGGGTTGACTTCATTGCACCACAGCGACTCCTACTGAACAACTACAATGCAAAGTTAGTTTGTTCAAGTTTGATCTAAGCCTTCTGAACTTGTCGCCGCTATCACTCCTGATTTGGTTGGTGGGTAAAACGTGACTGGCAAAGTCGTGGAATCAGAAAATCTACAATCAGTCCACTTTAATGTTGAAATGTGAGGTCATGTTCTATGTGATCATTCTCTTTGGGAAAAACAACTGGAAGAAACTATGCGAAACGCGGCATAGATTTGTTTTCAGATTGTATTTTATATACAGGGATCTCTAATGTATTGCAAATATGTATGCTATTAACCATTGAAAAGCTATTCATTTAATTTTGATTACCACATTTTTATATAACCCCTTTTAAAGGCTTGGTGCCCTTTTCAGTTTACCTTCATATTAAATATTAAAAGAACATCGAGCATTAGAGGGAAGGAATATTTATGAAACCGTGACCCACAGACAAAGATGGCACAATATAAAGGCACTGATCCTTTGGTAGTAAACAGATTGACCTTTAACATTTACAGTTTAGATATATAGAATTAAGAAAAGTTTAATGAGATTTTCCATCTCATTATCACTGCTATCTCTTAATCAGTGCTTTGATTCAACAGCACTTTATTGCAATAAACAATTTGAACTACCATGTCCCCAAGCTACTTCAATTTAATGACATTGTTTACTTTGAGATACTTTGAATTTTGTCTAGATTGCAACTGCTTATTGTTTTTTGCAAATCAGCAGGAGACAATGCAAGTGCTTGGGATTATAGAAAAAGTTTTTTTGAGGGAAAATAATTTGAAGTTAAGCTAAATGAAACATATGTGTGACTAGCCTGAAAATGACATTTATTCAGTATATTCATTCAAGAAACTGAAAGGGGTAGCTTGTTGTTATGGTTGCCAGGTTACATGTTTAGTATATGAACAGTATTGCCTTTTTTAATTGACAGCAAATATGCACAATGTTTTTAACATTGGCACGAAATGCAGATTTAACTATTAACTAGTTTACATCTGAAGTGCTTGAGCAGGTGTGAATATAAAGTAGGAAAGTATAACCCAATACAATTTCACCAACATATTCATTGAAGTGGAGCTCTACAATGACCCACTTTGTAAATAGCAGTTGTCTTGTTAATCAAAATACCATCCTACCCTCCAAAAATGTATGCTACAGTGTTTAAATAATAGAAACAAAAGTTGTTAAAATGGCATGATAATTTCTCCATCTTCCCTGTTATTCTAAAATGTAGAATACAATGAATAAAAATATGTAGCAAACAATGAACACAGGTATCACTACCACTTAAAATAATTCAATTTACAATTGCATTTCTATTTCACCATGTAGATTTCCAAATTCTGTGGCAGAGACCTTTGTAATCTGAACATATTTTCCTACAAGTAGTTCAAGCAGGTAGCTGCATCAGCATGCGTAGACTGCAAAGGAACAAGCAAAGGTTTATTCCATGCTGAAAAGGGAAGAAAAGAAACACACCTGAAGAAGGGTAGAAGAAGAAGAAGAAGAGTAGAATAAACCTTTACTTGTTCCTATATTTTCCTACAATATTTGAAATGTCTGTAGAAAAGCAAATGTAACATTAAATTCACTTATTTGATATATTTCTATTGAATCCCAGGAATACAGTGTTTTTATGATTGTCGTTTGAGTCAGTTTGGTGCATTGATCATCTGCCAAAAATGTTCTGTGCATATCCAACATTCTCACATTCAGACATCAGCCTATGCCAGACTCAAGAGATTCTTGTCTCTGGCTTTGCCAGGAGCCGTGAATGCTGTTCTGTGATGGTCATTCTTCTAACTATATTGTACAGTGACTCATTTTTGGACATTTAAAATAATGTTTGAAACCTGTTTTTTCTCAGAGGGTTATGATGTTTGACAACAGTTTTTTAATGAAGATTTTAAGGTTCCATCGCACTGTAGAACAAAACACAAAAATAATACTGCACAAAGAAAGGTATTTTACATAATTTCTGGAATCACAATTTTACCAAATTACATTCTTGAAAAGAAAATGGTGTACTGTTGGGAAGTCAGTGGAAGGACTGCAGTACTAAAGATGTTCATCATTGCTAAGCAGTGATTTATATTCAAGCCTAAGGATATTGCATTATCTTTATCATTGTGAAATTACTTTTGCATTCTACGTTATTACAGAAAACAAAATGGTTTTTCCAGTAATTAATTGAATGGCAGACATATTCTAAACAACTCTTTGAAATGCCTTTGAGTGTGTTAAATGTGATATAATCAATTTAATGCATTCCAGAATTTTTTTGATGAAAAAGTAATTTATTTTGTGATAAATTTAAATATTTAATTGATGAAAATACTCAACACTTCAGGTACTTTATTCATGATTTATGTGAAATAAAAATATGCAATTATGTGCCAGAACAAAGGACTATATTTTGAAATGTGTCATGGTTTTTCTCCTGCACTTGTAACTTACAAAAATAGAATAGTCAGTTCCTCGCGTTCCAACTAGCTCAGTTTCTGTTCCACCAATCTCAAACTGTATCTGTAAAACTTAACACAGCATAAAAGGAATTAAGTTAAGTTTTTAACACATGACATTTTAACTTACTGTAAATGCCATCCAGAGTGTGGCTTTGAAAGAAACAATATATTAATCCATATAAATGTGGCAAAACAGGTATACATGACCACAGCAATGTAGTAGTCATTTACAGTATGTGGCCATTTTGTGCTAACCTTGAAATATGCTGCAATAAAGTGTGATATTTGCCCACTCATGCATATGTACAAATGAAATGGAGTCAGCACATCCTGTCAAACAAATCTTTAGAATTTGTTTTCCTTCTTAACATGAAACATAGAAGCTTGTAGTTTTAATGTGAATAATTATTTATGTGTTATGATCAGTCTATACAAACATTATATAGATATGCGCTCAGTATATGCCATGATACCCCTGTTTGTCTTCAAAGCATGCTAGGAGCATGTTTTCTTCCTGGATGTTTCAGTCTGATCCAGCTGCTGCTCTTCTTTTACCTATTGAACTGTATAATAGTCACTTACAGGAAGATTCTTGGATGTTGGCTCTCAATTGTGTGAATGCCACATTTCCTGTACCCAAAGCATAATGGTGCAAGTGTATACTTGTTCTTAGAAATATACTTGATCACAGCCAATAGCAAGTAAATAAAATAGTACACATGAGCAACATCCTACACACAACTCTCACAAGCCTTTTATATTTTAATTTTAGTCTTTATTAAAGAAGACAACATGAAAGTTTCATTTCATTTACACTAGAGCCTTTGAAATTGGATCTGGACATTTCATTTCAAGTGAGTGAACAGTTCCATTATTTCAGGCCAATTTAACTGCTGCCTGCCCTGACTTCACCTGAGGCAAAGATTGGCTATTTTTGTCCTTCTTGTTCACATTGGAACAGCAAGGTTTTTTTTGTATTCCTGCCCTCAGGAGGATGAAAAATGTTTCCGTTATGGAGTAAAAGATGGTCTCTGAAAACTCAAAGCGATAAATAAGGCATTCAAAAGGAGCTGAATTAAAAGCTTTTTAAAAATTGCCATTTTAAGTGGAATTTTTATGTTACAAAACATAAGTTATTTGTGAAATGAGTGCATTGTTGTACATACTAATACTGGAAAATGTTACAATGGTACAATTTCTCATTTACTGACAGATGATCACACGCTTTCATTTTAAGATATTTTAAGCATTACACACTGTCAGCAAAGGTGCCTACACAAAATAAGAGTAAGCTGGAATTCAATTTTGATTTTTGAATCACTGAATTCTTATTTTAAGTAACGTAAAATGTGACCGAGAGCCATTTGGTGATAGAAGCATGTACTGTTATTGTAGTTTATTAGAAATCAAACACAAATCTTAACAAAAAAAATAATGATGACATGGTCCCTTATACAATATGAGAATAGATTGGGCTGTGGATTCAGATTAAAACATTAAAACTGCTATTTTCCAAATAATTAAGTTATTCACAACCAGATAGGCTTAAGAATGTAGGGGATGAGACCCTCTATGGATCATGTGTAGTACAGTATGTATGATCAAAACCATGAACATTATAACAGGGTTAGATCAAGAAATACATAATGGC